GGCATTGTGTTTCTAAGGATTTTTCCCTTTCATTTAGGTTATCCAATGCATTGGCTTACTATTGTTCATAATACTCTCTTAAAATCCTGTTTATTTCTGTAGAATTTGTAATATTGTTTTCACTTTCATTTGTGATTTCAGTAATTTGGGTCTTTTTTTCTGTCTTAGTCTATCTAACTGAAATTTTGTCAATTTTGTTGATCTTTTTGAACCATCATTGATTTGATTTTCTCTTTTATGTTTCTATTCTGTTTTTCATTATTTATGTTTTATTTAACCTTTATTATTTTCTTCTTTATGACAGCTTTGGGATTCATTTGCTTTTCTTTTTCTAGTTCCATGAGGTATAAAGGTAGGTTGCTGACTTGAGATCTTTATTAATGTAAGTATTATATTTATACAGTTTCCCCTTAGTATTGCTTTCACTGAGTCCTATATGTTTTGGTATGCTGTATTTTCATTATTTATCTAATTCCACTATAGTTAATAGACAGTATTATATTAGTTTGAGGGATATAATATAGTGATTCAACAGTTCTATACATTACTCACTGCTCATCATGGTTAAGTGTATTCTTTAGTCCCCATCATCTATTTCACTCATCCCCCTCTTCCCCCCCAACCTCCCTTCTGGTAACCATCAATTCTCTAAAGTTAAGAGTCTGTTTCTTGGTCTGTCTCTCTCTATTTTTTTACTTTGCTCATTTGTTTTGTTTCTTAAATTCCACATATGAGTGAAATCATATGGTATTTGTTTTTTCTGACTGATTTATTTCACTTAGAATTATATCTCTAGCTCCATCCATGTTGTTGCAAATGGCAGGATTTCATGGCTGAATGGCTTTTTTATGGCTGAATAATATTCCATTGTATACATGCCACGTCTTTATCCATTCATCTATTGATGGACACTTAGGCTATTTTCATAATTTGGCTATTACAGATAATGTTGCCATAAACATAGGAGTGCATATATCCATTTGAATTAGTGTTTTTGTAGTTTTGGGGGTAAATACCCAGTAGTGTGATTACTGGATCATAGGTATTTCCAGTTTTAACTTTTTGAGAAATCTCTTCCCATTATGTAGGAATTTTTATTTTACTTTTTAAAAAAAGTTTCTCTTTATTGATATTTCCATTTTGCTTATACATTATTTTCTTGACTTTCTTTACATCTTCCATTAGTTCTCTGAACAATTTTTAGGTAGTTGTTTTAAAGTGTTTGTCTAATAGATCTGCCATTAGATCTTTTTCAGAGATAGTTTTCTCTAGTTTATTTTTGCCCTTTGAATGGGACATACCTTCCTGTATCTTTGTATGTCTTGTGATTTTTTTTTTTTTTTGGTTAAAAACTGAACACTTTAATTGTATGATAACTCTGAAAATAGGATTCTTCTCCTTCCTCAGGTTTTGCTCTTTTTTTAAAAATAAATTCTTTTTTGGGGCGCCTGGGTGGCTTAGTCGGTTAAGCGTCCGACTTTCGCTTAGGTCATGATCTCGCGGTTCGTGGGTTCAAGCCTCGCGTCGGGCTCTGTGCTGACTGCCAGCTCGGAGCCTGGAGCCTGTTTCAGTCTGTGACTCCCTCTCACTCTGACCCTCCCCTGTTCATGCTGTCTCTCTCTATCCTAGAAATAAAAAAAAATAAATAAAAATATTAAAAAAAATAAATTCTTTTTTTAATAGTTTATTGTCAAGTTGGTTTCCATATAACACCCAGTGCTCATCCCTACAAGTGCCCTACTCCATGCCCATCACTCCCCTTCCCCTCCCCCCTCACCCCCATCAGCCCTCAGTTTGTTCTTGGCATTCAAGAGTCTCTCATGGTTTGCCTCCCTCCCTCTCCCCAACTATTTTTCCCCGTCTTCTCTCCCACGGTCCTCCATTAAATTCCTCCTAATCCTCCTATATGTGCAAACATATGGTATCTGTCCTTCTCTGCCTGACTTATTTTGCTCAGCATAACACCCTCAAGGTCCATCCACGTTGCTAAACATGGCCAGATTTCATTCTTTCTCATTGCCATGTAGTATTCCATCGTATAGATGAACCACATCTTCTTGATCCATGTGTCCGTTGATGGACACTTAGGCTCTTTCCATGTTTTGGCTATTGTTGAGAGTGCTGCTATGAACATTGGGGTACATGTGCCCCTATGCATCAGCACTCCTGTATCCCTTGGGTAAATTCCTAGCAGTGCTACTGCCAGGTCCTAGGGGAGTTCTATTGTTAATTTTTTGAGGAACCTCCATACTGTTTTCCTGAGGGGCTGCACTAGTTTACATTCCCACCAACAGTGTAGGAGGGTGCCCGTTTCTCCACATCCTTGCCAGCATCTAGAGTCCTCTAATTTGTTCATTTTAGCCACTCTGACTGGTGTGAGGTGGTATCTCAGTGTGGTTTTGATTTGTATTTCCCTGATGAGGAGGGATGCCGAGCATCGTTTCATATGTCTGTTGGCCATCTGGATGTCCTCTTTGGAGAAGTGTCTGTTCATGTCTTCTGCCCATTTCTTCACTGGGTTGTTTGTTTTTCGGGCGTGGAGTTTGGTGAGTTCCTTATAGATTTTGGATACTAAAAATGTATCTGATATGTCATTTGCCCTTATCTGATATGTCATTTGCAACTATCTTTTCCCATTCCATCAGTTGTCTTTATCTGATATGTCATTTGCAACTATCTTTTCCCATTCCATCGGTTGCCTATTAGTTTTATGGATTGTTTCCTTTGCCATGCAACCGCAGCAATTTCTTACTTGACACATCACCCAAGGCAAGGGAATCAAGAGCAAAAATGAACTATTGGGACCTCATCAAGATTAAAAGGTTTTGCTCTTTTTGTATTATTTTCCTGTTTTTGCTTTTGATTGTTGTGGGCTGTCTTCATACCAAGTACAGGCCTAATATGTACACTTAGTCTCCTCAGTTCTTTTCAGAAACTGTACATTTCCCTGGCAGGTGTGGAGACTTTTTAATTCTTCCTGCATATGTGGTTGCTTTTTAATGTCCCAGTCTTCAATATCTTGCTCCCCAAAGGAGAACAAAGGAAAAAGGGAGGGAGGGGAAAGCTTCTAGCCTTTTAAATACTATAGGAATCATTTCAGCCCAAGGGGAAAGGCTTGCCACAATTGAGGGAAGTACAACAACTATGCTGCTACCTTTTGTCTACACTTCTGTGATCAGAAGCACCAGTTATTAGAGAACAATTCCAAATGTTTGGTCCTGGTTCCCATGCTTGCCTGCTCCTAGAACTTTCTATAGGGCTGTGGGAGTGTGGGATGAGTAGCTGCTACTGTGCCAAGAGATAAAATTGACTGAAATGAACCACAATTTACTGCCAAAGCCTTACCTTGGAAGTTGTAAACCTTCAGTAGACTCCCGAGTTCCAAAAATGTTACATCAGACAGAGTCTGTCAATGCAGTTGTCTAGGTTAAGGAGACTGATTCCTGGTGCTTCCTACTCTGCCATCTTCCCCAAATCCTCTATCCTCCTAAGGATTACTAAAATTTATAATTCACAAAAAGAGATGTTTGGAATATCTGTAAAGTTTGGGAGGACTATCTTTATGAGTACATCATATGTGTTGGTTTGAGTTGGTAATGGCTTTCTATTGTTTTACTTATATTCATTTAATAAATATTTATCAACATATATGGAGAATATATGTATTTTTGGATATTTTGGTATATTTTTGATACATTTTGGTAACTTTTGATATATTTATCAACATATATGGATAATACGAATACCATTATATTTTTTCTTTGTTAGATTTTTTTTCTTGTATCATCATCTTGATTATTCTCAAATTCTTTCACTGGAAATTAGGATTGGACAGAGTCAACCATGGAAAATGATTAAGAAGTGTCAATATATCTCATAAGTCAATAGCTAAATTGGTTTGAGCAGGTTTTATGGTGGTTTAGGGTAGAAAGATGGTATAGAGATTTAAGCTGCTATTTGATTCACTTACCACTTGAGAGAAGGTGATGGGCCAGGGCTGCGGCCAATAGGGCTGAGAGATGGAGTGGAAACTGCCAACTCAATTCTGTAGTGAGTCTGAAATCAGAGATGTAAATAAGGCTGAAAACAGTTGTGTAGGAGTTCTGAGATTCAGCGGGTCATTAGGCAAGATCTGGGGACAGCCATAGCTGAAAAGAGCTGGGGCTGCTAGGACAGCCAGTGTTTGAAATAAGAATCATGACTTCTGTGGTTTTATATCTGCTGTGTAGCAGTCAGAAGCTTTGATTAGGAGGGAGGTGCTGTGAGTATATTAAGAGTAGAATCAGACAGCATCACCCAGTTAGTTAATCTCCTTCAAAATTATCTGAGCTATTACCTTTTCTTGCTATGTCTATGCGTTTGTTCAATTGTACTTAGATTGCAATCAGGTTAGAAAAGTCAGGTAGATCTCTAACTGTATTCTTTACCAACCTTACCACCTGACATTTGGTTTGTTGCTGATTTTCTGTTTTTCTGGACTGCTGAACTACTTCCCCTAGGTAAATAGAAATCCCAAGGTATCCCCGTAGACCTTGGATATCAGTTGGTCAACTTCCAGAAGAAACAAGCCTCCAGAAAGACCACTCTCTTCATCTTGGATGTCCATATGTAACTATAGTTAGCCTATAAAGCCAGGGAGTTTGTTAGTGTTCTCCTGGAAACACAGCTGCGGTCCTTGTACCCTTGATTCTGAACATTGTGCTGAGAGTGAGGCCACCTGTCCCTATATCTGTATTTTTTTTCTCAAAGAGCTGAGTGATTGCCTGGAACAGCTGTGGGTATTTGTGTTTTATTTTTATAAGCCCTAAGCAACTGAGTGAAAAGCAAAGCCAATTATGTCATTGAGTCCTTTAATATGTATGAACAGGATAGCAGAAAACTGAGTTAGCCATAGCAAATATAGGTTTATATGGAAGAAGAAACACTGAATTTTGGTGGGGAATCAGTGAACAAAGAGGCTTTTTGGAGGGAAAGGCTATTTTTATTTTATGTTCATTTAGAGCTTTGTGCACTGGCAGTATCGTGGCCAATGAGGTTTATCTGTGGCACAATTATTGCTAATTGAAACATTTAGATAAACTATCTTTACACAAAGTTTCTTGAAGTCCTTCAAACACTGACTTTATCAATGCAAGATAGCAGAGGAAGTGTGGTGGAGGACATGCTACGTAGAAGTCTAGCAAAGAGAGTTAGATTTTTATGAGCAGTAACCCCTACAGATTTGTTTGTTCTCTGGGCTGTTTAAAATAACTTTCCCATGTTTCTTTGAAGCCTATGGAGTTTAAATGTTACTGTAAAGTTCAGCATCCACTCTGAAAACTTACTTGTGGCATCATAGCATTAAGTCAAGAATTTAGATCGCTGGAGCCAAATTTCTGGCATTCATATCAAATGCCAGAGGGCCTTTGGCCACTGGCTATCATCAGTCTTCAGGTCAGTGTAAGTGAGAAGGCAGTTTTATTTAGTATTGTAGAGCATCTTACTTGGAATTAAAAGCATCTTACTTGGATCCTTGGATCTACCACCACATTTTTAGTGCTAGTGGTGGTGGTGAGTGGTGACATTTTGGGAAGTTAAATAAATAGAATTTCTAATCTTAATATGAAGACTCATAGATTCCTTCTACCCAACAAAAGTGTCACAAAATTTGGGGCATTTTGCTCTCTTTTCCTTTTCCTTTTTATTTTAAGATGAACCCAGTTTCTCTCCCCAGTTTGTTATATTTTTCTTGTTTATTATGAAAATGATAGTTAATTCTTATTTAAGCTTTGGAAAATACAGAAAAACTAAGAATAAGAAAAATCCTATTCTAAAGGGCAAATGTTGTTAGTATCTCTCTTATTTTTGTCCTGTGTATGTGTGTATTTTCATAATTGAAACCATATTATATGTACAATTTTGTATTCTTAAAAAAATTAAGACTCTCCTAAGCTTTCTCCAATGTTATTAAAAATTCTGTAAAAAATTTTACCACATCCTCTTTCTACTTTCCATTCTCTTCTTTAAAAAGTATTGTTGGGGGCACTTGGATGGCTTAGTTGGTTAAGTGTCTGACTTGATTTCAGCGCGGGTCATGATCTCAAGGTTTGGAGACAAAACCCTACATCAGGCTCCATGCTGAGTGTGAAGCCTGCTTAAGAGTCTCTCTCTTCCTCTCTCTGCCCCTCCCCTTCATGTGCTCACTTGCTCTCACTCTCTCAAAATAAATTAAAAAAAGAAAAAAATTAATACAAAAAAGTATTTGTTGTCCCACTTTTTTCTTTATTTTAATTTTTTTTTTTTCAAAATGCCACTAATGAACTGTTTGCTTTTGGACAACACAGCATAATAAGGACTGACTTTTCCCTACAGTCTATAAGGAGATGGCTGTGTCAGTCCAAGCAGGCAGGCACAATACCTGAAGAAGAGTGAGCCTTTCAGAAGTAAAGCTCTAAACAGCTGATGAGCATCCCCTTTGAGTTTCATCTGAGGAATTAACATCATCTGTCTGCGAGGAAATGACTCAATTTTTGGGAAAAAAATACTGCCTAGAAGGACTAGAAAGAAAATCATTGGGGTTTATGTAGGGCTTGGAGGAGTTTATATTTCCCATCAGTCAGAGTGGATAGACCTCCCAGCTTATGGATGTCAGTACTGCACTCAGAAGGATAATGCTGTTTAGCAGTGGGACAAAATTTGCCCCAGATTAAAAGTGTTCTGGTCTTACATGAAAAAGCTTAAAAGCAAGCCTCAACAGGATCAAACTGTTTCCAAGTAACTATTCCCAGAACAAAGCTCAAGAATATTGGTAGAAATATGGGGAAAAAGTCTAGCACCCAACAGTGTAAAATTAGCAATGCAAGTTCCAATAAAAAGCTACTAGGTATTTGAAGAAGTATGAATATATGAACTATAATGGGGAAAAACCTATCAATAGAAATAGATTATGCAAATTATGGGAATTAGTAGATAAGAACATTAAAACAGATATTGTAATTTTATTTCATATGTTCAAAAAATTAGATTAAAATATGAGGACATTAGGGAGACACTTGAAAGATATTTTTAAAAACTCAGAACAAACTTTTAAAAATTGAGAATACAATGTCTGAAATAAAAAAATATACTGGATGGAGTTAACAGAAGATTAATCACCTCAGAAGGGAAGATTAGTGAACTCAAAGACATAGCAATAAATACCACTTAAAATAAAATACAGGAAAAAAGAAGACTGAAGAAAACTGAACACAACTTTAGTAAACTTATGACATGGTCAGCCGAATACACATATAATGGAAGATCCTAAAGTAGTTAAGTGGGGAGAGAAAAAAAATATTCAAAGAAATAATGGCTGAAAAATTTCCAAATTTGGTGAAAACTCTAAACCCACAGATCTGAGAATCTCCAGAAACTCCAGACATAAGAAACATGAAAAATATATACTAAGTTACATCATAAACAAATTACTTAAAACCAGCAATAAAGAGAAAAATCATAGAAAGAAGACAAGTGAAAAAAAATGATAAGAATAACCATAAACTTATACATGGGAAACAACACAATTAAAGGAGACTTAACTAAATGGAGACCTAGCTATGTTCATGAATTAAAAGATTAGGTATTGTTAAGATGTAAATTCTCCCCAAATTAGAATCCAGTATGTGTTTTATTTTTTAGCAATTGACAATCTGATTTTCAAATGTATATGGAAATACAAAGAAGCCTGGAATAACTAAACAACTTTGAAAAAGAAGAAAGTTTGGGGCTTCTAATACTAGATTTTAGGACTTATAAAGATACTGTAATCAAGGCAGTATTGTATCAACATAACATTGGAAAAATAGTAAAGATCCATGGATAAAAGTGACTTTGTGGGAACTTTGAGTACTAGGTGGGAGGTGGTGAAATTCTAGTGCAATCCAAGACCAAGGAGAGTTGTTTTGAGAAGACAAGTTCTCAGTAAAGTGGCAGACTCAATGTGGTCCTAGCTACAGAAATAAAAACTATATTAATTAAAACTGTATGGTACTGGCATAGACATATAGTACAGTGGAACAGAATGCAGAGCCCAGAAATAAACTCACTAATCTACAGTCAGCTAATATTTTATAATGGAGCCAAGAAACCTCAATGGGGAAAGGACAGCCTCTTCAATAAGCAGTGCTTGAAAAACTAGATATTCACATGCAAAAGAATGAATTTGACTCCTGTCTTATACGACTCACAAAAATTAACTTGAAATGGATTAAAGACTTAAGCAGTATCTGAAACTATAAAAATTCTTGAAAAAAAAAAAACAGAAAAACTCCTTGACATTGGTCTTGGCAACTAGTTTGCAGATATGACACTGAAAGTACAAGCAACAAAAGCAAATGAACAAGTGGGACTATATGAAACTAAAAAACTGGTACAGCAAAAGAATGAAATGAATGAATGAAATGAAAAGGTTGCCTATAGAAGGGAGAAAATACTTGCAAACCATCTATCTGATAAGGTGTTAAAAGCAAAAGTATATGAGACTCATACAAATCAATAGCAAAAAACAAGTAATTCAATAAAAAATGAGTACTACAGGAACTGAATAGACATTTTTCCAAATACAAAAGGCCACTGGCTCATCAGAGAAATGCAGAGCAATACCATAATAAGATATCACCTCCCACCTATTAGAATGGCTATTCTCAAAAAGCCTCCAACCCCCCCCCCAAAAAAAAAACCAAAAACAAAAAATCCCAAACAAACCAAGAGATAAGTGTTGATGAGGTTGTGGAGAAATTGGAAAACTTGTATATTGTTGGTGGAAATATAAACTGATACAGCCACAATGGGAAACTGTGGAGTTTCCTGAAAAATTAAAATTGGATTTACTACATGATTCAGCAATCCCACTTCTAGCTATCTATCTGATTGAAATGAAATCATTACCTTGAAGAGATTTCTGCACCCTCATGTTCACTGCAGCATTATTTGCAATAGCCAAGACATAGAATCAACCTAAGCATCCATTGATGTACAAATGGATAAAGAAAATGTGGCACATATATACATAGAATATTATTCAACCATAACAGAGAAGGAAATCCTGCCATTCACAACAACATGGATGGACCTTGAGGACATTATGCTAAGTGAAATAAGTCAGAGAAATACAAATATTGCATGATTTCACTTATATGTGGAATCTAAAAATGCCAAATTCATAGAAACAGAGAGTAAGATGGTGGTTGCAAGGGAGGTGGGGGTGGGAAAAATTGGGAGATGCTGGTCAAGATGTACAAACTTCCAGTTAGAAGATGAATAAATTTTGAGGATCTAGTATTCAGCCTGGTGGATATAATTAGCAATACTGTATCATATACTTGAAAGTTGCTAAGACTGTATACCTTAAATGTTCTCACCACACACACAAAATTGTATGTATGTATGTGAAGTGATGGAAGTATTAACTAACCTTATTGTGGTAACCATTTTGCAATATACATATATATACCAAACCATCACTTTGTACACCTTGAACTTTACAAATTTTATATGTCAAGTATATCTTAATAAAATTGGATAAATAAGTAAATGGGAAGACTTCTTTAGTCTTCCTTAGAGCAGAAAACCAATTAGTAAATGTAGAAGAATACATGGTATTAGAAAATCTTCATTTGGCAAAAATCAGAGTAATAACAATAATTGTCATCAAAGCTAGTGAGTGAAAGTGAGGTGAAGAATGAGATTTTTCATAGTGAAATTATCTTTCTACAAAATATTATTGTTACAAAAAGAAGAAAGACATCTTTACATTTTTAGGGACCTGACAAATACAGTCTTAACTATGTGAAGTTAACATCACTCGCAACAGGACTTTGTAGACATAGGATAGACCACCTACCCAAAGTTGTTCAGATTTCGAGACTGATGAACACACACAGACACACACACTCACACTCACACCCCAGGATGGAGAATAGTGCATGACCCCATGCAGATCTGAAAATGGCTTGGGAGGGCAAGGAAGGTGACTGTTTTTGGCTTTTATTTTGTTTAAAGGATGGAGTTTTTAGGCATGAACCAGGGATTGTGTGGTTTGAATTTCTCACCTACACCAAAAGAGGGAGCATCTGAGCTTTCTTATTAGCGTGCCCAGCGTGGGGCAGAAGGAGAGGGATAGAACTTGAAAACCATCAGCTGTCAAAATGAAATCACATTTTTTATTATAGGGGCCAATTGATGCCATGTTCCACCCAGTAGGTACGATGAGAAGAATACAACATCTGTGACAGTCTAGCAAAAATACGTTACCCGAGTCAGATCCTAGAAACATCAGATAAATCTGTGTAGGAAAGAGTTCACATAGGAGGCTTTGGAAAAGGTTTTTTCTTAGAAAGCCCTGCTTGTGAGATTGGCCCCCATTGGTCTCTGGGAACCTGGAGTTCCCACACCTCAGGAGTGTTCCCACCACACTAACTGACAAGAGTAGCTCGTTCACTTGCCTAAATTGTTTGCATGAAGAATGTGGTTTATGCTAAGAGCCTCTTTCGTTCTGGGAGCCTGGAAATTTGCTAGGCAGGGGTGCCTAATGTGACAAGCTCCCAGTAAAAATTTTGGGCACTGAGTCCCTAATAAGCTACCTGGTAAGCAACATTCACATATATTATCACCAGTCACTGCTGGGGGAGTTAAGTGTGTCCTGTGTACCTTCACTGGGAGAGGATTCTTGGAGCTTGCCCACACTTTTGTCTGGACCTTGCCCATTGTGCATTTTCCCTTCACAGGTTTTGCTTTGTATCCTTTGGCTGTAATCATAGTTGTAAGGAAGAAGATATGCTGAGCTCTGTCATTTCTCCTAGCAAATCATTAAAACGGGGTGATCTTGAGGGACCCTGACACACCCACATTGAAAGACATGCTATAAAATGATTGCCCTATAATCTTTCTTTTGATTGTCCTATTATCTTAAGAAATGTCAGAGTGATAGAAGTCAAGAAAGGCATACAAATTGGGAACAATATGAGATCCTGGACTGGATCCTTCAGTAAAAAGGGTTATTTCTGGGATAATTAGCCAAATTCAAAATGGGCCTCTGGGTGATGGGTAGATAGGAGCTCCTTGTGCCAACTTTACAATGTATTTGCTAAGTTTAGAAGTACTTTGAAATAGGGGCGCCTGGGTGGCTTAGTCGGTTAAGCGTCCGACTTTCGCTTAGGTCATGATCTCGCGGTTCGTGGGTTCGAGCCCCGCGTCGGGCTCTGTGCAGACTGCCAGCTCAGAGCCCGGAGCCTGTTTCAGTCTGTGACTCCCTCTCTCTCTCTGACCCTCCCCTACTCACGCTGTCTCTCTCTCTCTCTCCTAGAAATAAATAAAATATTTAAAAAAAAAAAGAAGTACTTTGAAATAAAATATTTTTCAAAATTCTGAAAGCATATTTTTACTGGTTGCATAATATTTTATTTAATGCCACTACCACAGTGTCCTTGGAATGGCTCTCAACCCTGGATGCATGTTGCAGAATTTTAAAAAATATGCCTGCCCAGCTTCTACCCCTAGATATTTTGAATCAGTAGTTCTGATATGTGGCATAAGCATCACTATTGAAAAAATAGTTCCTCAAGGCATTCCCATGTACAGTCACAGTTGGCAATCACTAGGCTAAGAAAACTATGGTAGTAACCAGTCCCTTAATATTGACTACTTAGGTGGTTTCTGTCCATAATATTTCAGTAACAATGTTGTACATAAAGCTTTCCCATTGTACCATGTTTTTCACAGTGATCCCAGAAGTCAAAGGGTATGAATATTTTTAAGGCTTCTTTTGATATTTTCCCAAATTGTTTTTGAAAAATAAGTATCCCAGTGTCTATTTTACCACATGTACATGCAGTGTTTTAAACATCTTTGTTAATATAATACACAGACATGTTATCTTGTTTTAATTTTTATTTATTTGATTTCTTTAGAGGCTGAAGTATTTACAGTTGTTCTTGCGCCTAGTGTTTCCTCTTTTGGAAATAATCTTCAGAGTTTTGTTTTTTAATCTAGTGGGGCAATAGACTTCCTCTGATAGTTTTATATAAGTGCTTTATCATAGCCATTGCAGTATTTCCCCAGTTTGCCAGCTTGCCTTTTAATTTTGGGCATTTTACTCTTTGAGAAAGAACATTTTCTTGGGAATGAGAAAATATGCTGCAGCAGCAAGAAGAATTGCCAAATTCAAGCCTTGTTCTATATCTGGAAGGAGTTCCTAAGACAGAGGAGGAAGGAAATACTGCAAGTTTTGGCTAAAGGGCTCTGTGTTTTGGGTTTTTGAGGTATTTTGGGGTAAGGAACATATATTAAGCCCTATATGGTATATTTTGATTTTTAATCATAGGTGCCCTATTTTGAGGACTACATCAGAGTAAATGACACACACTCCTCGGCCATAGAGTATTTGGTAAGTTGGATACTAAATTAATTGTAGCACAGCTTTGAAAATAACAACTTGTTCAAAAAAGGAGTTCACGTAAGAAGTGCCATGTGGGTTTGCAAAAACAGATAGGAATAAGCATATTGTACTGTTTATTATTGAGAAGAATATTCTGGGCTAACCCCAGCCATAATCACTGCAGCATTCAATGTTTCAGGACAAGAACTCATCACAAAATGATGTTATTTCTGAAAATGCTATAAAAACGCATCAAAAGAAGAGAAGTGGATTGCACACAGAAACGAGAAATCTAGGATAGTCTGCAAAAACCTATTCACCCCATCCAGGTTAGTGGATTGCTTCAGCCACGCGGGGGAGCTCACAGCTCACTTCCCTCAGCTCTTACTCCACCCCCGAAGAAGTTAACAGAAGACATTGCATTGGCCAAGTCCAAGAACACCATTTAGGACACTATGCTAAGGCCTAGAAGTTTCTCTGTGCTGAAGGAAAAGTTACATGCAGTTCCTGGTGGCAGAATTTCTTTTTGGCTCCTCAATTCATAGGGTTTTCTCTCTTTGATTGGCTTTTTGGGAAGATGAGTTTCCCCTTACAGCGGTGGTGTAAAGAGGGCCCTGCTTAGGTGGAGATGCCTGCTGCCCTTCGAAGGTCTTGGGTGCAATGGATGGTTTCTGGAAACTAGGAACAAGTTTTCTTTCCTTCCTTGCTTTAATTGTGGTTTGATTGGAATTGTCTTTCTCCATCAGAGCCAAACAATGAGAATGACTGCAGGCCAAGCAACATCCTCTGGGTAATGAGACAGAACTGATTGCAGTAGGTTAGGAATTCACTTCAAGGGCAAACAAGGGCTCTTCTCACAACAGAGCTTCTCTGTAGAAAATCTTGGACTGATGGTGTCGGCATTTGTGGACAAGAGAGTATATTCACAGTTCAAATGTTTTGTTTTCCTTCTTACCTCCTTATTCTAAAATTGGTCTGAGATAAATCTTGATAACGGCATGGAACTTGGAGCACTAGAAACATCTGATAAACCAGAGTTATGAAATTCATCACTAAACAGATGAAGAGCAGTGGAAGTCCTTCTCTCTCTTATCTCCTTCCTCCCACCCTCCTTCTCTACCTCCCTCTCTCCCTGTCCTTCCTTTCCTCCTTCCCTGCCTTCCTTCCTCTCCTTCCTTCCTCCCCTCCCTTCTTCCTTTCCCATCCTTCCCATCCATCCCATCTCCCTTCCTCCTTCCCTTCCCTCTCTTCTTCTTTTCTTTTTTTCTTCTTTCTTTCCTTCCTTCCTCTGTTCTTCCCTCTCGTTCATTCATCTTTTTTCTTTTGGAGATGGTTCCATCTAAGATATATGAATAATTGCCTTTCTTGTTTAAAATTAATTTTTTAACTATATAAGTGATTCCTGAATGCTAGATTCTCCTTCCAAAAAACCCAGAAACCTACAGCTAAGGCTGCTGAGGAGTCCCATTGCAACACTACCGTGGTACCCCAGGGCTGTATCCTAGACACAGTTGCAGAGTAACTAAAGGAGGGCTGGCACCAGATTGCCTAGGCTCAAATTTAACTCTCCATTAACTGACTGTGCAGCTGTAGGCAAGTTACTTAACCTGTCTGTGCTCAAGTTTCCTTATGTGGCAAATGAAAATGTTATTAATCCATTTGGTACTTTTAAGGATAAATGTGATAATATATGCAAAACACTTAAATGGCATATAAACTTAAAAAGCGCTTAATAAGTGTTAGCTGCTATCATGCCATTTCCAACTTGAGATGTATATACTTCTCATTTCCCAGTGGTAACCACTATTGCGAACTTTCAGAATATCGTTTTAATATCCTTTGTGTGTGTTTGTGTGACAAAATGATATATTATACATATATTTTGCAGCTTGCCTTTTTCTCTTTCTTTTTTAAAATGTTTTTTAATTTATTTTTGAGAGAGCGAGAGAGACAGCGTGAGAAGGGGAGGGTCAGAGAGAGAGGGAGACACAGAATCCAAAACAGGCTCCAGGCTCTGAGCTGGCTGTGAGCATAGAACCTGACGCAGGGCTCGAACCCACGAACCATGAGATCATGACCTGAGCCGAAGTCGGACGCTTAACCGACTGAGACACCCAGGCACCCCGTAGCTTGCCTTTTTCAATTAGCAATGATGTTTTGTGATTTATCAATGTTGACACAAATAGATCTAGTGTATTCTTTTTTTAAAAATTTATTTTCATTTTAAGTTTTTATTTTAATATCAACTAGTTAACATACAGTGTTATATTAGATCTGGTATATTCCTTTTGAGTGCTACACAATGTACAATTGTGTATCTACAATTTCTTTAGCTATTTTCTTATTGATGGATGGTTAAAATGTTACTTATTTTTATCTATGACAAATAGTGCCGCACAGAACCTTCACGTAAGTGTCTGTGCCATATTGTGCATATGTGTTAGTTTCTCCCAGCTAGAAATCTATATGTGGAACTGCTAGGGTGTAGGATGGAATTAATTTATACTCCCTCTAGCAGTATCTGAGAGTACTCCCTTCCTTAAAACCTTGCAAAAGCTCATTAATAAAATTAAACATTGTTGTCAATGTTTCTAATGGAGAGAAATAATACTTAGTTAAATAGTTAATTTTATTAATGACATATTATTGTTTTAATTTGTATTTCCATGCTTTCCAGTGAGGCTGAACCTGTTTCATACGTGTACTGGCTATTTCTATTTTCTCTTCTGTAAATCTTCTGTTCATACCCTTTATTTGGATTACTATCATGTTGTTAGTCTTTTTCTTTTTCTTTTTCTTTTTTTTTTTTTTTTTTTTTTTTTTTTTTTTTT